CATGGATTTAAATATACAAAAAATGAGCTCTACAACGTCGTTTACAGCGGCCAACTGGCAACCAGAGGACAAGAGCTTACCCATGACGATCAAAGGAAGCCGAGAATTAGTAGGCTCGCGACGATGGTGAAGACGCACAAACTCTTTATTCATAATCCTGATTCCGCGAAGATGCAAAGTAAAATAAGCTTGGCTTACGTAAAAGATGAAAAACGAAATCAATTACATATGGGTAGATGCTTGGCGAATTTACAGGGTTTCGTAATGCCTTCCTTCAACACAAGAAACGACCTTCGCACGCTGCTGACAAGATACATATCATTCCGAAAAATGAAAGAAGGGTATTTTGTCCAGCGAATCAGCGCAGCAGTCACAGAGAAATCGACTCACAGGAAACGAACCGAAAGCCGGAAACAATGACTGAGTATTGTCTAGGACTAAAAATGCCACACTAACAAGGTTAAGTGAGGAACTCCGCAGCGACGGAAATAGTGTTAAAGAAGAGAAGTACTGCAACAGATAAAGCTTTTTTCCGCAAGTACATCAGACAAAAGCTAAAAGAAACCCGCAAGAACTATAACCCTGTGGAGAGAAGTGGCTCTCAAAAACAAGATCAATAAGGCTTGTTATTTTTTTGTCACTTTGACTGTTTTTATTTATCATTATTTATATTTTATCACTCCTGGTGTTGTTTGTTCATATTTTTTAATTATATTCTTGGTATATTACATTATTAGACATGCTCTTAGTGGAAATCGTTAAGGAAGCAAACACAGGCTGCTCGACAGATGACAATTTTCTCCATTCCAGTTCGCACTGAGCCCATACCCCCGAAGCTTTTTACGGTTTGCCTCGAAGTGGTAATTAGAAAATTGGATTAGATGGGTGGTCTGAAGATCAGCTAATAAATCACTTACACATCGCTGATAATGTAGTTTTTATTGCCAACAACCCTGGACTGAAAACGAAGGTAAAGCAAAGTCTCAGTACGCGCGTGGCAAGATTGCATACAAACGGTGTAGACTCAGAAAAAGCTGAAAGTTACGTCTATTCTGAACAGGAAGTAAACACGCGCTACAGTTCCCAGCCAGAGACTGCACGTTGAGGGAGCGCTGGTTGTCCTAAATTCCATAGCACTGCCAATGTCTTCAAAGTGCCGAATCGCAAGGACACTGTCCACCTCTTCAATATCACTGTGTTGAAGGCAATGACGCACGGATGCGAAAAGTTGTCACTTATAAAAGTTGAGGAGCGAGCGCTGGCAGTAACGAAATAAGCGATGGAGTAAAGGATGCTTAGCGAAGTGTCTCTCACCGACCATACAAACAGTCAGATTCCCTGTCAGATGAGCGGTGTGCAGGATATCACTGCGACCAAGCGAAAAAGCGAAAACTAATGGGAAGAGAACACTGCTCGCCATGCTGTCAATAGGTGGATGTCGCACATTAGTGAGCGCACCCAACTGGAGGTAATGCAGTTTAGCATCAAAAATTTCGCATAGCTGTGTCTGAACGGCAGTGCTGACAGTACGCAAAGTGCGAAGATCCAACTGAATGCAGCTGATTAAAGAGACAGTTCAATTTACAGTATGATTCATGGTACATGAAATGGAATGGAGTTGAAAAGAGTGCATTCGAATATCAGACCGGGACGATCTGGAGCACTGATAAAGAAAATGCTATTACAGTACAAGGCTCAGATCGATTCAGCAGTGATGAGAAACAGGCAACTGAGAACTCTGAATCAGAATTGTGCTTGAAACACGTCAGGTTAACCTCACTGAAAAACCACCTTCGGCAGTCCATGATACTGACCAGTTATTGGATCGTAGCCAGCATGATAGCGATGCTCAAAATTGCTAGGCAACGATATATCAGTCTTTTTTGGCCGCCTCCGCATTGACATCTCCTGAAAGAAAAGTTTAGTTCTTAATGTGATGCAACCAGAGAGCGTCTCTTCACCACTGATGTTTCTTT